CCACCTTAGGTGTATGTGGCTGGCGCCTTAGCCACTTGAGCCACAGGCACTGAGCCTATCTGGTGATTTTTATAGTTGGACTTGAAAGGCCCTGTGCTAAGTGTTACTTAGGGCAAGGCAATAGTCATTGATTCAGTGATTTTACTGTGCTATAAGGCGCTCAGTACATTTAATAAAACTAGCTGATGATTAATAGAGATTATGCAGGAAAAGAGAAGAAGAAGAGAGGCATCATGTAGCAAGCATTCACCGAACAAGTCAGCATAACCTGGGTTTTGGCAGTTTGGTAGCAACCTAAGTAAGATTGGTGTAGTGGTTAGCATGAATAAACAATCTGGACTGGAACAATGGTCAAATTTTAGATTTCCTTAATAGAAATTGGGTTATTTCCTATCTTTGAATATTGAAAACAGAAATAATCATTTTCAACTTACTTGATCTATGCTCCTGTGGGAATGGAAAGTATTTGTTTTTGATCTTAGATGGATTTGAAATATCATTTTGGACAAAGCACTAATCTTTCTGAATGATTTTGATGTGTAAAAGTAGTTGATCTTGCATTGTATTTTGTAGTCGTAGGTTTTCGTTGTCTTTGGATCTCGATCCATGATCTGACAGGACAGATTGGGGAAGGAGTGACATTGTTTTTAGTGTACTTATTTTTGGAGCACGTTTAGTGTTCTAAGTTATCTAAACAACTTGGACACAGCAGTGTCCAGGGTACTTGGACATTATTATATTAACTGCATTAAGTTTTGTGACCTAAGTTTGATCTTGCGTGGAGACCTCACAGTTGAGCTCTTCTGTGACCAGATACATCTAATCATTAAAGATAATTACTCTGTTTCACAGATGAAGAAAATGTTGTCATTTTCTTTGTCAAGCATATCTTGTCATTTATTAAATAGTATTCCTCTTTAGTTTAAAAAAAGTAGTATTTGCAGCCTGAGCAAGAGAAAGACCCTGCTTCTAAGAAAAGTAGAAAAATTAGCTGAGCTCAGTGGCATGTGCCCGTAATTCCAGCAACTTGGGAGGCTGAGAAGTGAGTAGTATTTAATGGCAAACTTGTGACATCACCTTTTGTTTTTGAGACAAGGTCTTGTGATGTTGCTCAAGCTGGAGAACAGTAGTGATGGTGCTATCATAGCTCACTGTAATCTGAAACTGCTGGGCTCAGGTGGTCCTCTTTCCTCAGCCTCTCCAGTAGCTGAGACTGCATGCGCGCATCACCATACCTGGCTAATTCTTTTTTATTTTTGGTTAAGACCAATTCTCCCCATGCTGCCCAGGCTAGTCACAAATTCATGGCCTCAATCAATCCCGCCACCTCATCTTCCTGAAGTACTGGGACTACAGGCATTAACTACTGATACCACTTTTTAAAAAAATCAATTCATGGCAAATACTCCCCTATCCCATTAATCTCTCATGTCAGAATCCAGAAGGATTCTTGAATTTATTTAGTCAGCTCTTATACTGTTTTCATGGGGTGTTTTCTAAGGGTAGTCTGACTAATTCACGTGTTCTCAGTTATAGGTTTTAAAATACTTGGTGTGTTTTATTTTATCTTATTTATTTATTCATTTATTTTTTTTTTGAGACAGAGTCTCACTGTGTTGCCATTGGTAGAGTGCTATGGCGTCATAGCTCACAGCAACCTCAAACTCTTGGGCTTAAGCGATTCTCTTGCCTTAGCCTCCCAAGTAGCTGGGACTACAGGTGCCTTCCACAATGCCTGGCTATTTTTTTGTTGCAGTTGTCATTGTTGTTTAGCTGGCCCAGGCTAGGTTTGAACCCACCAGCCTTAGTGCATGTGGCTGGCACTGAAACCATAGTGCTACAGGTGCTGAGCCACTTGGTGTATTTTAAAGCCTGGGGGAGGAATTCGGTATTGCTGAGGATTTGTTCTTTTATTTCCCTTTAAAGTCATCTGTACTTGGATCAGGATTTGGAGAGCTTACATCATCAAAAATGGCGAACATCACCAGTTCCCAGGTTTTGGAGCAGTTGAAAGCTCCAAGTTTGAGCCAATTTACTACCACTCCAAGTTCACAGAAGAATAGTATGAGTACCCCTACAAGTACTACTTCTTGGGACCTCAAGCCCTCCACAGCCCAGTCCTCCGTCCTCAGTCATTTTGGTAAGTTTGTGTATTTTGGTATTGCCCCTATGGAGAGCATGCTACACATTAGCAGAGTATATTGACTTGTGAACTTGACCATAAAGATGTAGAACTTGACCACAATGCCAGGGGCCACACAAGTCAAAACAAGTTGGCATTTTTGAGCCTGTGATGTGGAACCTGACCACAAAGATATTTCTTTTTAGTAGAATTGTTGTAGAATTTCTAAATTAAATGTCTTCGTTTTGTCATATAACACTTCTATTTGTTGTTGTCATTTTATTATTAGTAATTGTACTTGTAGTACCTGCCTTAAAGAGATGTGCAGAAGTATGGTAGAAGCATGCAGATATGACTATTTAACATTTTGAGTACATGCATCAACAGAATTTTGTGAGCTCTATTAGAAGAGGGTGTTGATAACAGTAAGTGGAATGTGGGTAACATTTTAAATCCCATCTTCTATGATGCTATCTTATTGTAACATTTGTATGTATCCACCATGATTTGTTCAAGTTTTACCTTCTGTGGTTTGTATTTTAATGGTGCCCTGTCTAAGGTGGATATCAGAGGTCCTCAAACTTTTTAAACAGGGGGCCAGTTCACTGTCCCTCAGACCATTGGAGGTCCAGACTGCAGGCTTAGGGACAAGTCTGCTGCTAAGCAGGACAGGCAGTGGTGGCAAAAACACCTGGCACGTCAGATAAATGTCCTAGGAGGGCCACATGTGGCCTGTGGGCCATAGTTTGAGGACGCCTGGTGGATGTTTTCTAAACTAAACTCTGACAGAAATTAATGGCATTAAACCACTGTTCCCTCAGTGTTCATATGCCGCTCTGTATTAAGGAATAGCAATTCTGTTTAATCATAGACTTGGTTATGTGGGCTGGTTTATGTTAAGAACATTTTTAGAGACAGAAATGCATGTTTCTATGCTTAATGAGATAGCTTACTGTCTTAGAAGTACTTGAGACTAGTTTGAGATTAGAGGTGATATCTACCAAGGAAACTCATTAGAGAGTCAGCGTGTAGGGTTTTTGCTTTTGTAGAGATAGGGTTTTGCTATGGGCTGGAGAGTAGATTTTTTTTTCCTTTTTTTTGTTTGAGACAAAGTCTCACTACATTGCCCTCAGTAGAGGGCTGTGGCATCACAGCTCACAGCAATCTCAAACTCTTGGGTTTAAGTGATTCTCTTGCCTCAGCCTCCCAAGTAGCTGGGACTACAGGTGCCCGCCACAACACCTAGCTATTTTGGGTTGTAAGTTGTCCTTGTTATTTGACAGGCCTGGGCTGGGTTCGAACCCACCAGCTCTGGTGCATATAGCTGGTGCCCTAGCAATTGAGCTATAGGCTCTGAGCCAGATTTTTTTTTTTGAGACAGAATGTCACTATGTCACCCTTTGGTAGAGTGCCGTGATGTCACAGCTCACTGCAACCTCAAACTCTTGGGTTTAAGCGATTTTCTTGCCTCGCCTCCCAAGTAGCTGGGAATACAGGTGCCTGCTACAATGCCCAGCTATTTTTTGTTGCAGTTGTCATTGTTGTTTAGCTGGCCCGAGGTGGCGCACACCTGTAATCCTAGCACTTGGGAGGCTGAGGCGGGTGGATTGTCTGAGCTCACAAGTTTGAGACTAGTCTAAGCCAGAGTGAGACCTCATCTCTAAAAATAGCTGGGCATCATGGGGAGCGCCTGTAGTCCCAGCTACTTGGAAAGCTAAGGCAGGAGAATCCCTTGAGCCTAAGAGTTGGAGGTTGCTGTGAGCTGTGACGCCATGGAATGCTGAGGCAGCAAAGTAAGACTCTGCTCCCCACAAATATATATATATATGTGTGTGTGTGTGTGTGTGTGTGTGTGTATTCATTTTTTTTTAAATAAAACCCTACAAGTCTATTAATACAGTGTTGATACCTATTTGCACTGGATTTCTAGGTAGTCATAAAAATATGAGTGTAAAGTAGCTCTTTGCATGTTAATGTGGAACAATCTCTGAAAATTAAGTGGTTTGTAAAAAAGTAAGATGAAGAGTGTGTGTGTATGTATATGTCTGTATTTTGATAAAGAGTATCTTTGAAGATACACAGAAAACTGTACATTGTTTGCCTTGGAGTAAGTAAAGGCATAGGGTAGAGGGGTGATTTATATTCCTCATATACATTCCTGTACCTTTTGGATTTTGTAACATCTCCTATATTCTGTAGTTACATACAAAATCCATAAAACAATAAAAATATACTTTGCTGTTAGTTAATGGCCAAGTATTTATAGTGCCTCAATACTGTGCTTACCCACTATTTTGGCTTTACCATGAACTACATCAACTCTCTTCATAGTCAACAAAGTACAAACCTATTGGGGCAATATTTCCCTTTATCATAAACCAGATATTATACCTTAATTTTTATATATGTCACTTAAATTTAGTTAGAAGATGATTTTGGAGAAGGAAATGGAACCTGTCGTGATCAGTGATAGTGGAAGGGGAAGTTTAAAGCCCTTGTACCCAAATAATTAATTGTTATTTACTTTTTTGTTGCATATTTCATAGACTTCAAATCTCAGCCTGAGCCATCCCCTGTGCTTAGCCAGTTGAGCCAGCGACAGCAGCATCAGACCCAGGCAGTCACTGTACCTCCTCCTGGTTTGGAGTCCTTTCCTTCCCAGGCAAGACATCGAGAATCAGCACCTGCAGACAGTAACTCCACTGTGAACAAACTTTTGCAGCTACCCAGCATGACCATTGACAACATCACTGTTTCTGCCCACCCACCACAGCCCAAACACATGAAGCTTTCTAAGCGGCGGATACCTCCTGCATCTAAGGTGGGCGTTCCATTGTGAAGTCACAGTCTCAAATGTGGATTTATTTTAACATTTAGCTCAGTTAGTGGATATTAAGTCTCAGAAACTGTGATGCAGTGTTTTTCAAGCACATAGTTTACTGCTTTTTGATGATTTAGCCATTTCTGAATGACTGGACTAATATTAGAGGGAATGAATGGATTTGTGTTGAGAGCCAGTAACCCTTCATTCAAATACAGGCTCAGAGAATCTGTTCTTGTGAATTTTGCTGTATCTCATAGTTGGAAGATGAATGGTTCCTTGACTAGGTAATGGTTTCATTGTGGTGTGTCTCTAAAAATGGAGCAGTCAGGTTAGTGCCCACTCTCCCTCATCACCCACCCAGCAGCACTTTCCTATCTCTGGTGCTCTAAGAAGCAGATGGTGACATTAACACTGACTCTGTTAACTTTTAACCTTTCTTTTGCTCTTTTCCCTTTACTTACTTTTTAAAAAAGTCTTACTCCCTTTTTCTTCCTTTCTATCTGTCCTTTTTCATTCCATTGTTGCCTGGGAAACCCTGTTGCTTATTTTGCTCTGTTGTTATAGGCCTTTGTGACTTGGAGTAGGATCTCTGTTCCTGACATGACAGCTTTGCTTTTTCAGATTCCAGTTTCTGCAGTGGAAATGCCTGGTTCAGCAGATGTCACAGGATTAAACGTTCAGTTTGGGGCTCTGGAATTTGGATCAGAACCCTCGCTCTCTGAATTTGGATCCACTCCAAGCAGTGAAAATAGTAATCAGATACCCATCAGCTTATATTCAAAGGCGTTAAGGTACACAACTTCCCACTTCTCTGGTTTTGCCTGAGTTTAGTACTTTATTACAGAAAATAACAGAACCTAAGAAATGGTGGGGACAGTATATCCTGTAGTAATAGGGTTTTGTACAGGTGTTACCAGTGTTTCATTCCAGACCTTTTCTTCCATTGTCCCTGAAAGAAACCCTGTATCTGTCACAGACACTCCCAGTTAATTTCTTGCCCTGTCCCTTGGTAGCCTCCCTGGATTTGCCTATTGTGGACATTTCTTAAAACTATAGCAAGCAATATGTGGCCTTTTGTGCCTGGCTTCTTTTATGTAACATAAGCTTTTCAAGGCTCATCAGTGTTGTACATATTCTTTTTTTTTTCTTCTTTTTGAGGCAGAGTCTCACTTTGTCGCCCTTGGTAGAGTGCTGTGGCATCATAGCTCACAGCAACCTCAAACTCATGGGCTCAAGCAATTCTCTTGCCTCAGCCTCCTGAGTAGCTGGGACTATAGGCACCTATCCCAACACCCAGCTATTTAGAAGCGGGGTCTTGCTCTGGCCCAGGCTGGTCTTGAACCTGTGAGCTCAGGCAATCCATCTGCCGCAGCCTCCCAGAGTGCTAGGATTATAGGTGTGGTCATGTCACCTGGCCTGTACATATCCTTTTTATTACCAGTTATTACATTGTGCTGATGTACATTTTGTTTATCCATTAGTTGATGGACATTTAGATTATTTCCTCTTTTTTGGTGGGGGGGAACAGAGTCTTGGTTGCCCTCGGTAGAGTGCCATGGCATCACAGCTCATTGCAACCTCAAACTCTTGGGCTTAAATGATTCTCTTGCCTCGGCCTCCCAAGTAGCTGGGCTACAGGTGCCTGCCACAACACCTGGCTATTTTTTGGTTGCATTTGTCATTGTTGTTCAACAGGCTTGGGCCAGGCTCAGACCTGCCACCTTTGATATATATGGCTAGTGCCCTACTCACTGAGCTACAGGCACTGAGCCTGTTTTCTCTCTCTTTTTTTTTTTATTCCAAGTTACACACTGCTTAGTTTAATACCTATGCACTCCCAGGTTGGGGGACCTTCGGGGGCAGGGGCAGGAGCTTCTTGACAGAGAAGGTGAGAATGGTGTTTCCCCTTTTTGACCATAGTGAATCATGCTCCTGTGCTTGTTTGGTTTCAAGGTTTATGTGGTTTTAGTCCTTTTGGATGTATATCCACAAATAGAATTTTTGGATCATATTCGAGAAATTGCAGCATTTTACATCCTAACCAGTAATCTTGAAAGAATCCAATATCTCCACATTTCAGCATTAGTAATTCACCTTTGATGGACTATAAGCAGAAAATTTCATGTTTTAGAGTTTTAAAAAATTTATTAGTTTTTCTACATTCTAGAGGCAAAACCTGATGTTTTTGTTCTTGCTTTATTATTGATTGATTAATTGATCCAGTCTCGTACCGTCTCTTGGGCTAGAGTGCAGTGGTGTCATCATAGCTCACTGCAACCTCAAACTCCTAGGCTCATGTAGTCTTGCCTCAGCCTCCAAAGTAGCTAAAAGTATAGGTGCTTTCCACCACAGAGGGTCTCTCTGTGTTGCTTAGGCTGGTCGCAAACTCCTGGCCTCAAGTGATTCTCCTGCCTCTGCCTCTCAGAGTGCTAGGATTCTCCCGTCTCCTCCTCTCTAGGCTAGGTATGAATTATTATGCCTAGCCATGTTCTCATTTCAATGTTGATCTCACATACCTGGATTTCTTAAAGAATCTTAAATATTGGTCCAGGGCCTGTACCACAGTGGTTACAATGCCAGCCACATACACTGAGGCTGATGGGTTTGAAACTGACCCAGGCCAGCTGAGCAGCAATGACAACTGCAACAAGAAAATAGCCGGGCATTGTGGTGGGTGTGTGTAGTCCCAGCTACTTGAGAGACTGAGGCAAGAGAATTGCTTAAGCCCAAGAGTTTGAGGTTGCTGTGAGCTGTGATGCTATGGCACTCTACCCAGGCTGACAGCTTGAAGCTCTGTCTCAAAAAAGAAAAAAGAAAAAAAAGAATCTTAAGTATTCTTAAAGATACCTTCCTGCCTTTCAATTAAATTAGGGTTTCATTTGGAGTAGGGATAGGAATTGCTTTCTTTTAAACTGTTAAAGAATGTAGTACTATAAATTTGTAGTTATATGCTTTTTAAATATAATATGATGCCAGCCTACCAGCCTAAGCAAGAGTGAGACCCTGTCTCTCCAAAAAAATAGAAAAATTAGCTGGACATGGTGGCATACACCTGTAGCCCCAGCTACTGGGGAGGCTGAGGCAGGAGGATCACATTTAGCCATGAGAATGCCACTGCACTCTAACCCAGGTGACAGAGGGAGACCTTTTCCAAAAATCAATCAATCTATCAAGTAACCTTGATCTGCATAGTCAGTGCTAAAAAAATAAGTAAAAACATAGACTATGCCAGTAAATTGAAATAGTTCTATTTTATGAAGCTATGTAAAGTAACATAAATTTACGTCTATTACCTTTTAGTGAGCCTTTGAATACCTCTTTACCAGTGACCAGTGCAGTACAGAACTCCACCTATACAACTTCAGTTATTACCTCTTCTAGTTTGACCAGCTCATCCCTGAGCTCCACTAGTCCAGTAACAACGTCCTCCTCCTATGACCAGAGTTCTGTGCATAACAGGATCACGTACCAAAGCGCTGTGAGTCCTTCTGAGTCAGCTCCAGGAACCATCATGGTAAATGATGTTTTGGATTTCTTCTTTAAGGGCATCTTATGTGGAAGTTAGTGGTTGGTTTGGTAAGTTATGCTTTTTGGATAAAAGAGTTTACTTTAGAAATTGGCTGATCTTTTGAGTGGAGTCTTTGCAATTCTTCGAAGATGGATATAGTGGGCATGTATATAGATGGATCTGTAGGCACACAGGGTTTGTGGAGAAATCCAGGCCTCCATGTACCATAAGCATTTTGGCTGTGGTACTGGGTGCTTTTACATGGTTTAATTCTGCCCACCTTTCTGAGTATTTCTTGAACTCATCCTTTTTCTTTATTAATTCATTTTCCTTCAGCGTACTTGCTATTATAGCACAATTAGCTGTTGTGTTGAAATTATGTATTTTTCACCCAGCTTTTGATAAAAATACTACACTGTAGATTTACCAGATAATTTTCTCATATCCTGCCCCAATTTTTAATCATTTTTTGTAGAAAGTTTCCCTATGTCACCCAGGCTAATTTTGACTTCCTGGGCTCGAGCAAAAAGATGTTCCTTTTGTTATTGTTTTGGTTTTTTTCTTTTTGAAAGAATCTTTACTTTGTCACCGCAGGCCAGAGCACAATGGTGTCATAGCTCGCAGTTACCTCAAATTCCTGGGCTCAAGTGATCTTCCTGCCTTAGCTTCCCAAATAGCTAGGACTATAGGCACCTACAACAACACCTGGCTAATTATTCTATTTTTTAGTAAAGACAGGACCTAGCTCTTGCTCAGACTGGTGTGTCTGAGCTCCAGGGATCCTCTGGGTTTGGCCTCCCCGGAGTGTTACGATTACAGGCAAGAGCCACTGCACCCAGCTTTATTTTGTTTTTTAAAGAGACTGGGTGTTGCTCTTGCCCAGGTTTGTCTGAAACAAGTCTTGCTGCATTGTCCAGTAGAGTACAGTGGTGGTGTAGCTCCCTGCAACCTCTAACTCATGGGCTAAAGGGATTCTCCTGCCTCAGCTTCCCAGGTGGCTGGTACTACAGGTGCCCAACATGAAGCCCAACTAAATTTTTTATTTTTCGTAGAAACAGGGTTTCCCTCTTGGCTCAGGTTGGTCCTAAAAAATTGACCTCCAGCAGTCCTCTACTTAGGCCTCCCATAGTGCTAGGATTTTAGGTACAAGCCAGTATTCCCAGCCCCCTATTCTTTTTGTTTGTTTGTTTGTTTAGAGACAGAGTCTTACTCCGTGGCCCTTGGTAGAGTACCATGGTGTCACAGCTCACAGCAGCCTCCAGCTCTTGAGCTTAGGTGATTCTCTTGCCTCAGCCTCCTGAGTAGCTGGGACTACAGGTGCCAAACACAACACCTGGCTATTATTTATTGTCGTTTAGCCGGGGCCAGGTTTGAACCCACCACCCAGAGTATATGGGGCCGGCACCCTACTCACTGAGCCATAGGCGCTGCCCTCAGCCCTCTATTCTTGATGGGGTAAATTAACTGATACTCATCAGTGTCAACAGTCATAGGGTATCTATGATCTTGCATGGATTCCCCAGGTAATATTCTTCCAATCTTTCTCTTATAGGGCATATCTTTGTCCATTAGTGTTCTGAAACCTTAATGGGAAGAAAAAGCTGGCCTCACATTATTCACTTTGTCTGCATTGACTGGATCCATCTGTTTTTATAGTACCTTAGCCTAGCCATGTGTTGCCCTCTTGATGTATAGAGCCTGTGGGAGAAGCTGAGAAGAGGAAATCATCTTACTGTGCAGGGGAGGAAGGCAGTCTAGGGCTGTGCAGATTTTAAGGCAGTTCTCCTGCACTCAGCGTTATGTCCATTCCCACTTCCAAAGTTAGTTGGTATAAATCAATGCTAAGGTGTTTGGTATGGTTCTTTGAAGATATAAATGATATAAATTGGGTTGTTCTCTGATCTTCCATACTAACGGCTTAGGATTTGGCTTTCCTTTTTTCTTTTTTTGAGACAGAGTCTCACTGTGTTGCCCTCAGTAGAGTGCCGTGGCCTCACAGCTCACAGCAACCTCAAACTCTTGGGCTTAAGTGATTCTTTTGCCTGAGCCTCCCAAGTAGCTGGGACTACAGACGCCCTCCACAATGCCTGGCTATTTTTTTGTTGCATTTGTCATTGTTGTTTAGCAGGTCAGGGCCACCCACCAGGCTTAGTGTATGTGGCCGGTACCCTACTCACTGAGCTATGGGCATCAAGCTGGATTGGGCTTTTCTTTAAGTCAGCTGAGTCATTACCATCTTTTATAAAATAAATTGATTAACTAATAAGTTATTCGTTTATTTTTGAGACAGAGTGTCAGTCTGTTGCCCTGATGTTGAATGCCATGGGTTATCAGAGCTCACAGCAACATCAGTCTCTTGAGCTCAAGGGATCCTCTTGCCTCAGCCTCCCAAGTAGCTCAGACTTCAGGTGCCTGCTACAATGCCCAGCTAGTTTTTGTTTTTAGTAGAGAAGGGGTCTGGCTCTTGCTCTGGTTGGTCTTGAACTCCTGAGCTCAAATTATCCACCTGCCTCATCTTCCTAGAGTACTAGGATTATAGGAATGAGCCATCTTGCCTGGCCAGTTACTATCTTCTGTATGCCTTCTACATACTGAAAATCTCTTGCTTTTTTTACATATTATTTTGAATTTACTCATTTAACAACAACAACAAAAAAAGCTTCATGTTCTTGATTTGTCATCTTTAATATGAAGTATTATTCTATACTTGCCAATATGGCAACCATTAGCCACATGTGGCTATTTAAACCTTTAAAATTAAGTAAATGATTAAACACTCAATTCCTTAGACACTAGCCACATCGTAAATCCTTATTAGCTAGATAATGGTTTGTGGCTACAGTCTGGGACTTTGGAACATAGAATATGTCCATTATTCCAAAAAGTTCTCTTGGACAATGTTGGTCTTTTCTGTTTCTATAACATAAATCAGACCATATTCTATCCAAGTGTCAATATCTGTCATCTGTAGGACACTTCAATTCCTCTTCTAACTTGACTTCCCACTCTGCTTGCTCAGATCATTGCTCTCCTCATTCTTGCTTAGTTAATTGATTTCAATTTCTTTTCTAGATTTATGATCTGTCTTGACTGTTCTTTGCTTTTGCTCCTGCTTTTCTTTTGCCTAGAATTTTCCCCAACCTAAATAATACGGCCCTCTGCTGTGTCAATTTGTTCATCGTTTGAAATGATTTTCAAGGTCAAATGGCATATTCTTCAGTGTTTGGTGTTACGTCCCCCGCTCCCCGCCAAAGAGGTGATCTCCCTCTGTTGTCCAGGCTGGAGGGTAGTGGCCTCATCATAGCTCACTGTAATATTCAGTAGGAAGCAGATCTTAGTTTAGACTGTTGTATCCTCTACCTATATTTATATATTTAGTTCCCTGACCAAAATATTTTTCCTTTACTTTTTTTGCCCTAGTAGTTCTATTTTATTGGCTATGTTTCTTTTTTTCCTTTGTTTCCTTCTTTTTTTCTTTTTCCTTTCTTTCTTTGTTTCATTTTCTTTCTCTTTTCTCGCTCTCTCTCTTCTTTCCCCTCTTCTTCTTTCTTCTTTCATTCCTTCTCCTTTACCTTTCTTTTTTCTTCCCTTCCTTCTTTCTCCTCTTCCTCCTCCTCCTCTTCTTCTGGAGATAGGGTCTCACTCTGACGCCAGATTATAGTGCAGTGGTATGACCATAGCTCTCTGCAGCCTTGAACTGCTGGGCTCAAGCGATCATTCATCCTCCTGCAGCCTCCCAAATTGCTCAGATTATAGGCATGTGCCACTAGGTCCAATCAGTTTGTACTTTTTCTTTTTTTTTTGAGACAGAGGCTCGCTGCATCACCCTTAGTAGAGTGCCATTGTGTCAGAGCTCACAGCAACATCAAACTCTTGGGCTTAAGCAATTCTCTTGCCTCGGTCTCCTGAGTAGCTGGGATTAGAGGTGCCCAGTGGTGCTAGGCTATTTTTTTGGTTGTAGTTGTCGTTGTTTAGCAGGCCTGGGTTGGTTTGGCGCTTATAGCTCAGTGGATGGGGTGCCAGCCATGTACACCGGAGCTGACAGGTTCAAATCTGGTTTTTAGTTTTTGGTGCTACCAGACTGTCCTAACCTATTCTCTATCCACCTATATCAGAAAGCCAGGTTTCAAAGATGCACCTCTTTTTCTCTGAGAACCATTTTGCTAGTAATATAAAATATGATAACTCCTGGTACACAAGTTACTTTTTTTTAAAGTGATTTGGGAAGATTTGCTTGAGTAGGACTCAGGGGACAGAACTTGCATAAGATATGAAGGCGTTTGGTACTTTAACTGTAATGGGACTTTGTGTTCTTTTTATATTTGGACTTTTTAGTAATTGTTTTAGGAATGTTTTATTGCTTCTTATGATTTGGGTCTTACGTTATATCCTTGTTTTTTTCCCAAATACCAAATCTTGTTTTCAGAAATGGAAATTCTGTGGGTTTTATTAGAATTTGTTCTATTGCCTTTCCTTTAGAGGTAATTGAGAAATAGAGTGAAACAGATCATTGTTTCTTGATTATCTATATTTCATGTGCTTATTTCAGAATCCCAGTAGTCTTTCAGGTAATCATTTAATTTTATTTTCTCTTCTGTTCCTTATAGAATGGACATGGTAGTGGTCGAAGTCAGCAGACACTAGACAGTAAGTATGTCAGTTAACTCTTCTCACTCTGACTGTTGGAAGCTAAAGAGAGAAAGAGCATAGCTAATGTGATGTGGAAAACACCAATCGGCCAATAGCTCATTCTCCAAGATAGCCCTTTTAGATTTTTTCTGGTAACTGCTTCTTATCCATCATTGGAACAGAGAGTAGCCACATTCAAAGGTTAAATGATACCAAGTTGTCTCTTTCCTTAGCAGGATTAAGGTCAACTAGAGATTTGTTTGGAAATATGTGAAAGCTGGTGGTGTTAGTAGAAACGTCAAAGTCACAGCAAGAAGGAGGTGATAGTGTCATATTCTTACTCCAGTCACACTGCACTCTAAGTGCAATGTGGAGTATACATTTAAAAGATAACACAGGTTCTAGGCTGGTGAAAGGGCTGTCACACCAATAATGTGACGATGTTTTTAAGCAAAAAATTATTGTCCTAATTGGTTAGGAAGAGAGATAAAATATTCACTGTGGATGTTTGGGTGAAAGAATGAGCCCCCCAGCCCCCAACTCAGCACCTGTAGCTCAGTGAGTAGGATGCCAGCCACATACACCAAGGCTGGCGGGTTCAAACCTGGCCCAGGCTAGCTAAATGACAATGACAACTGCAACCAAAAATAGCCTGGCGTTGTTGTGGGCGCCTGTACGCCCAGCTACTTGGGAGGCTGAGGCAAGAGAATCTTTTAAGCCCAACAGTTTGAGGTTGCTGTGAGTTGTGACAGCATGGCACTCTACTGAGGGTGATGTAATGAGACTCTGTCTCCAAAGAAAAAAAGAAAAATGAGCACCCTCACCTCAGTGTTCTGTAATGATAGTGGAGGTGAATCCCCATTACTTGTTTCTTTCCTTTGTGTTGGGTAGCTTTCCTGTAATTGTTTATAGTAGTTTGCTTTTTTCATTCAGTATATCATGGGTGTGAAGCCAGAAAGACTTTTTTATTTGAGACAGAGTCTCACTATGTTGCCCTTGGTAGAGTGCCCTAGCGTCTCAGCTCACAGCAACCTCAAACTTTTGGGCTTAAGCAATCCTCTTGCCTCAGCCTCCCAAGTAACTGGGACTACAGGCGCCCACCACAATGCCTGGCTAATTTTTTGTTGTAGTTGTCATTGTTGTTGTTCAGCAGGCCCAGCCCAATTTCAAATCTGCCAGCTCCAGTGTTTGTGGCTGGTGCCCTAACCACTGAGCACAGGCGCTGAGCCCAGATAGACTTTTTTATTATTATTTTTGAGGATTGTGGTTATAGACCATTAACAGACCAGAGGTGAGCCTCAGTTGGAATGCAATGACACATTTGGTGACCAGGAATTGGTTTTGGAGGACTGTTTCGAGATACATTGGTAGCTCTGAGCTTTGTTGGATGACAGAGGAACTTCTCCCTCTAGCATTGGTTGTTGTGTCGTTCTTTTGTCCAGGCATAGAGCCAAGAATTGACGTATCTGGAAGGTAGAATGCATTTAAATTAAGTTTTTAATTCTGCTATTCTCCTCTCCTCCTATTCCTGCCTCTCCTCCCCATTTCTTCTTTGCAAGAGCGGGAAGTGTGCTGTAAACCTGTTATATCATTGTCATCCAAAGCTCAGGGAGATACCCTTTGGGGTCTTAGTTTTTAGTGAGGTGTATCTGTGGTGTGATTTGTTTGTTCTAAAAACAGGTTTCATATTTGGAATAGACTGTCAATAAAAGAAGGCCTCACGAATATAAAAGCCTTTATGAGAATTGACTTAATTGCATGTTCTTTTAGAGACTCAGACGCTTGCTGGTGGCCTCTGAGGGTGTCGTACAGGAGGTCAAGGTTGCTCTTTCTAACTGGAAAAGACAATGATGTTTTATTTCCAAGCACATATCTGAATTTATGTGTGGACAGCATGAAAACTGAGTCTTTTCCATAGCTAGCATTGATTGTATCTATATCCTTTCTGAAGTCTTATGTCCTTCTTTACATGCTCTAGGATTAATCTGTTCATGCACATACCAAGGAAATTCTCACTATGCTTTAAAAGTATGTGTCTAACTCATACCTGTAATCCTAGCACTTTGGGAGGCTAAGGCAGGCAGATCACCTGAGCTCAGGAGTTGGAGACCAGCCTGAGCAAGGGTGAGGCCCTGTCTCTAAAAACAGCTGGCCATTGTGGCAGGTGCCTGTGGTACCAGCTACTTGGGAGGCTGAGGCAAGAGGATCACTTGAGCCCAAGAGTTAGAGGTTCTTGGGAGCTGTGACGCCATGGCACTCTACCACAGCAACAAATTGAGAGTCTGTCTCAAAAAGAAAAAAAAAAGTAGGTGTCTCTTCTTTCTGCAAATTTTAGGCATATGTATCTCTCTACAAGGTATGCAGTTAAGGTTCTCCACCTTTCTAAGATGCATTCTTGGGTGGTCTTATCCATCAGCTCTTCATTTTCCCTTGCTGTACCTTTTGAGGAAAAATTTCCTCATTTTATAATTATGCATATAAATCTCAGCACATCTTTTTCTTGGTGCATCTAAGTATCAGGTTCCTTTAGGTAGGAGAATTATGTTGACATCAAAGAACAGATTTAATAATAAAGGTGTGATTTCTTTTTGCCTGAATCTCGTGTGGCTGACCATCATGTGCCCTTTTGGTAGTCTTGTCTGATGCAGAGCTGTCTGGTGATGTACTTGTTTGTCTTTTCCCTAAGGAATGTAACTTTATATATGTCTCAGATGCGCCTGACACATCACAAGATATTGAGCTTATTTCAGATATTCAGGAATGGTTTTGGAGCTAAATAGATCTGTTTCTTACAGCTGCTTCATCCGTTCCAGCTCCAAAGACAACAGACCCTCCCTCTACCCTCTCATCTGTGGGTGCCCTGCCCAGCACCACTTCTTGCACTGCGCTTCTGCCCTCTGCATCCCAGCATACTGGGGACCTGTCCAGCAGCCCCCTCTCTCAGCTTAGCAGGTATGGGGGAAACGTTGGCCCAGAGAAATATGTTGGAGCTACATCCTGGAGCTCCTATAGAAGGTCGTTCCCGTGAACAAAATATACTTGTTAACTCTGGCATTATGTCCTGGTCTTTTGCATTAATAGTGTAGCTTAGGTTTTGGTCAGATCAGGTCTCAAAACCACAAGATAATAAAACTTTACCTGCTTTTAATACTTCTGCTGGCATAGAGCATTGGGTCCCTTAGGAATCAGGGTGAAACCAGGAGCTCCCTGCTACACTTCTTGGACCCCAGCAGGGGGCCATGCGCCTAGCCTCTCCTCCTAGATCCAAGCATATGTCACTGTGAGGTAGAGTGAGAATGATGTTGTATTTCTGGCAAGTGTCTGACTTGCACTTGTCATAGTTTCAGAGTTATTAGAACAGGGTATAGGAAAATGGGTTTGTTTGTTAGTTATGTCTTCTGAGTAGAGTTCTCTGCCATTTCTCTTCAGCCAGCAAGGAGCAGAAGTGTTTGATTTGAACTCTGGATTTGTTGGGAGTTCAGGCTCTGACTCTGGCATGTGGGGTTGAACCTAGGACCTTTCCCCCTCATTCAGAAATTTAATGGGGTCTCCAATTTCTTGATGTAACCCATTTTTACTTTTTATAGGTCTAATGAGCAGGTAGGCATAGTTGACTAAAGTTGGCTATGGGGGTTTCCCAGGTTAGGATGTACCAGATCTCATGGCAGCCGACCCTGTAGGTAATTTTTAATCCCCAAGATGCTGTCACTGGGTTTTGAAGTGATAAGGATTGGTGGATCTGGAGCTGGGGCTTCCCTAGGGATTAGGGACAATGTTGAATCTAGCTCATTGGACCAAGGGGGCCTCATGTGTGTGGAGTGACTTGTTTGGGTGGACACGTGGTGCTCTCTTTTGTCTTCTAGTTCACTCTCCAGCCATCAGAGCAGCCTCTCTGCGCATGGAGCACTCTCCTCGGGCACATCACACACCGTAAGTGTCCACACGATTTCCTCCATCACCCTGCTTAGTGAGCTGAGGGATGAGTCACATGCAGCTGGGCTTTATTGAGTTTGCTGATTTTCAGTATCTGTAATGATCTAGAGTTGTGTGGCTGAAATGGCTGAACTGAGTTATCTGGTTCGAACTCTGATTTCCTAGGCACCATGGGGAAAACCACCTTCCTTTCTATGGTGGTGGTCCCTTAGAAGAATCACTTTTCTAGACCTAAAAGGTCATTGATCGGGCTGTCACATAGTGATAATGTTGATAAGCATGATAGGAGATGTTTCTACCCAGCAGCAGGGGTTCCATTTTCTGGGTCTTATTATATTGAGGCATTTGAAAGCTTTTTGGAAAAAGTAGGCTCAGTTGCTAACTCCATCTTGGGTGCCACTGAACTGGTTAAGTTTAATCAAGGTCATTGTTCCTGGGTGGCACCTGTGGCTTAGTGAGTAGGGCACCGGCACCAGTCACACTGTAACAACAACAACAAAAAAATCATTGTTCCCTCTCTTACTTTGTGAAGGCCATTGTAGAGAAAATGCTTGGAGGGAAAAGGCAGTGCTTGTGTGAGGAACATTCATCTTTTCCACATGCGTGTACGCCTTCACCTCTCAAAAACTGGCAGTCGTGCCCTGTACTCCAGCCAATATAATTGTATTCCATTCTGCTTGTGGTTATGGGGACTTCCCTAGTGGTAGCCATTAGATTTCCTATTTGGTTTTTCCTTGTGCTGTCTACCCTGGCTTAAAGACAGAGACTTTGAGAATGCTGAACATTGAAGAATGAAGTCTGGAGGGTGGAGAGGCAAGTGTGGAGCAGAAGTGAGCTGTATTGGAAGCCAGACTGGGAGACAGTTGACATGGGAGTGGCAGCTGGAAAGTGTCTTCAAGTACCTAAGAATAACCTTAGATTATGATTGTTGAAGTGGCTCAGTGGGTTGTGAATTTGGGAGCATGGTTTATGTGATAACGGTCAGGCCAGATTGTGGTGGGTTGAGGAATGAATGGTAGTAAAATGGAGAGGGGACAGGTTATTGGAGAGTGCTTTATGAAAAGCTAGGAGAGACTTGAGCATAAGGTTAGGTTAGATAGAGACTTGAGTATAGGAACAAGATGTCCATGCTTCTGGGCTACAGGAGGGTACAGGCACGTTTGGAGTAGGTAGGCCCACAAACAGGGAGGAAGAACTTGGGTACACGTGGATGGGAGTCAGGAAGTTGGTGAAATTTGTTCCTTCTGAAGAAGGGATTAGCTCACCTGAAGAGTAAAGTGGTAGGAAAGAGATTCCATTCGGATCTGGCTGACATAGTTTTCAAATTGTAGCATTCCAAGGGATATTTTTTACATTATCTTTTGTCATAAAGAATCTTAAAACTGGCTCGGCGCCTATAGCTCAACCGGCTAAGGCGCCAGCCACGTACACCTAAGGTGGCGGGTTCGAATCCCCAGCCCGATCCCGCCAAACAACAGTGACGGCTACAACCAAAAAATGGCCGGGCGTTGTGGCGGGCGCCTGTGGTCCCAGCTACTTGGGAGGCGGAGGCAGGAGACTCGCTTGAGCCCAGGAGTTGGAGGTTGCTGTGAGCTGTAATGCCACGGCACTCCACCCAGGGGAATAGCTTGAGGCTCTGTCTCAAAAAAAAAAAAAAAAAAGAATCTTAAAACTATCACTTTCAAATAAGGCACAGGGTGGGCACCTCTGCCTGCCTCTGTCCTTTATAGCTTGTCATGAGCAGTGCGGGGCTGGCCTCCCATGTTTGTGGCACTGTGTTGGGAGCTCATGTGAATGTGGGTAGCTGCACTCCCTTTCTCAGGAAAAAATTCTAGGTAATAGATTCCAAACTTCTATGGCCAGAATGGTCTCATCCAGTTAGTCCCATGCTTTGTCAATGTGACAGAATTTTCACATTGCTAGTACAGTGGTCCCTTAATAAATGCATGAGATGAGTTCCTGGACCCCCTGAGTGTTCCCAAATCCATGCATACTCAGGTCCCACAGTGGGCTCTACAGAACCCATTTTCACAAAGAGTTAGCCCTCTGTATCCGCAAGTTTTCATATCTGGGGAATGCTGTGTGTTTTCATGCTGCGTTACAGAACCCATTTCATGCTGCTGTACAGAACCCATTTTCACAAAGAGTTAGCCCTCTGTATCCGCAAGTTTTCATATCTGGGAAATGCTGTGTTTTCATGCTGCATTTGGTTGGGAGGAAATTTGCATATAAATTTGGGTGGACCTATGCAACCCAAACCTGCATTCAGTGATCAGCTGAATATTCATAATTTAATATTTCATATTAAAAGAGATACAGAGATTCATGTTGAAAAGGTTCTCTGTGTGTGGTCTGCTTGTTTCTACCGCTGTGTCTCCAGTCTTCCCCTTGCCCTCTGCCCCTTTCATTCTTTTTTCCTGTAACATAAACAAGAGTATTCCATACAGAGCAGCCTTCAACTCCACCCACCCCCACCCCCGAACAGTATACATGGGTCACTATGAAAGTTCTGAGACAGACTGTGTTATAGTCTTTTATTTTTTTGAGACAGAGTTTCACTCACCCTCCGTAGAGTGCCTTTGTTGTCCTCAGTAGAGTACTGTGGCATCCTAGCTCACAGCAACCTCAAACTCTTGGGCTCAAGTGATTTGCTTAACTCAGCCTCCTGAGTAACTGGGACTACAGACGCCCACCACAACGCCTGGCTATTTTTAGAGATGGAGTCTCGTTCTGGCTCAGGTTGGTGTCTAACCCGTGGGCTCAGGCAGTCCACCCGCCTCGGCCTCCCAAGTGCTAGGATTACAGGCATGAGCCACCGCGCCTGGCCTATGGCCCTTTATTTTTGATTCATCCATGCAGGTTTCAGCTTGCTCGACTTACTGGTGTTGCTGGGTGGGAGGGCTTCATTTGTTTCCGTCTATGTAGATTTTATGTTTCTTGATTTTTGTGTATCTCAAAACTTTTGTAATGATCCATGTATCATGGAGATGTTTCCATGTTGAAACATGAAGTTTTTTGTTCAACTTTATTACCTTATCTAACTAAGAGTTGTTTCCAGTCTTGATATGACAGTGTTGCGTTGGATAACCTTCCACACATGGTGTTTCACTGCATGTGTTTAGAGGGTAAATCCTGGATGTGGAACTTTAACTGCTAGGTATTTCTCATTTTATACAAGTAGCCAAATTGCCCTGCATAGTGGTTTTAACCTGTATGCCTCCCACTGACAATGAATAGAATGACCTGTTTCTCAACATTTTGTTATTGACTATTTGGACTTTATTTGAAAGCCATTGAATTTCCTTTTCTTTGAGCTGTTTGTGTGCTTGCTTCCTCTTCCTGTCAGATCCTTGGTCTCTTGTTTCTAGGCCCCCAGTGTATTTGCAGGTGTCCTCAAACTACTGCCCATGGGCCACATGCAGCCGGCCTAGGACATGTATCCGGCCCGCCGGGTGTTTTTGCGCCGCTGACTGTCCTGCTTACTAGCCGAATCATCCCAGGGCCCGCAGTCCAGCCCTCCAAAGGTCTGAGGGACAGTGAACTGGCCCCCTGTTTAAAAAGTTTGAGGACCCTTGTATTAGGAGACTGGTAGTTCTTTGTAATGGAAGGTGCCAATATTTTTTCTGCAGTTTTTTGGGGGAGCTGAAGGGGAGGGAGACTGTTTTACTCTGTTACCCAGGCTAGATTGCCGTGGCTACTGCCTAGCTGACAGCAACTTTAAACTGGTGGGTTCAAAGGATCCTTCTGCCTCAGCCTCTTGAATAGCTGGGGCCACAGGTCCCCGCCGTAATGCCTGGATAATTTTTTTTCTATTTTTAGTAGAGATGGGGTCTCACTTAGCTCAAACTAGTCTCGAACTCCTAAGCTCAAGCAATCCACCCACATTGGCCTCCCAGAGTGCTAGGATTGGGAATGAGCCACTGTGCCGAACTTGGAATTAATCTTTTCTTTTCTTTTCTTTCTTTCTTTTCTTCTTCTTCTTCTTCTTTTTTTTTTTAGAGACAGATTCTTACTTTGTTGCCCTTGGTAGAGTGTCTTGGTGTCTTAGCTCATAGCAATCTCCAATTTTTGGGCTCAAGCGATTCTCTTGCCTCAGTCTCCCAAGTAGCTGGGACTACAGGTGCCCGCCACACCTGGCTATATTTAGAGATGCCACCATGCCTGGCCAGAATTATCATTTTATAAATGAGATATTTTAGTATAGTCATTCAAAAAAATATTTTCTTTCATAGTCTCTCAGAGTAAATCTTTCCCACTCCAGCAGTATAAAAGAAATCTCAGTGTTCTTGTTGTCCTTGCTTTTCTGGGCCTAACCTGGGGAGCTGAGTGCTCAGGCCCCATTGGTTTGACTGTGTGAGGCTTTTTCAATGTGGTATCGGCCTCTTGAACCAACACTTTGGCACCCTCACAGTTTGGGGAGGTCAGGGACAGAGACAGGAGCCCTGATAGGGGCCACTGAAGGAGGAAAGGCTTGCTTGAATGGCTCCTAAATTCCTTTTAGTATGTTAGGAATTAGTTCTCTAGGAGGCATCTCTTACAGGGATGAAGAATGTTCATTTTTTCTGTGGTTAAAAGGGTTGGAGGGATATATGACCAGTCACACTTGGAAGCATTGTCAAGAGCTATTTCAGGTTCTATGGTAGGTAGTCTTGGGCAGGATGTCTGGCCTAGAGAAGACTGTGGGATAGGCACTAGGCAGGGCAGTAGATCCTGTGTCCTCCCTCCTGGTAGGGCTTTCTTATGCTATAAAAGAGCAGGAGTCCCTTGTAGCCCTAGGAAACCAGGGCTGTCTTCACTTTGGGGAATCTACTTTGGATTTTATACCCCAAATTCCAGTGCTTAAATGGGTAGGGAGTACTGTGGGTACAAGATTCCCAGAGTTTGTTTCCTCTTTTTTGTCTTCTACTCCAGAAGTTTCTATGCTTTTATGCTCTGTATTCTTTCTGGTTTGGAGACTGGTCTCAGTCTTAGCTTTTTCCTGCTTTCTGGGGACTTGCTCTGCCCAACCAGGTGTATCTCTCAGCACTTGCAGCTTTTCTTGGTGCCCTGTTACTAGAATTGAGCAGCTAAGCCAGGTTCCGCTTGGTGTTTTCTGCTGGGTCTCATTCACCCTTCCAAGGAGGATTGTGTTGGGCAGGCAGAGTGGCAGGCCATGCAAGGCATTGGTGGGATAAGATGTCACCAGGTTTTGGAGCAAAGGCCTCTCTCAGACTCCTGTGTCTTATCAACCAGAGCAGCTAAGAAGCCCAATAGAAGGAAATCCTCAGAAGACTCAGACTTGGCCTGGTGTGATGGCTTACACCTGTAATCCTAGTACTGTGGGAGGCTGAGGTGGGTGGATCACCTGAGCCCAGGAGTTCCAGACCAGTCTGAGCAATAGTGAGACCCCCATCTCTACTAAAAATAGAAAAAAACTAGCCAGGCATTATTGGCAGGTACCATAGTCCCAGCTACTCGGAAGGCTGAGGCAAGGGGGATTGCCTGAGCCCAAGAGTTTGAGGTTGCTGTGAGCTGTGATGCCACAGTATTCTACCCAGGGTGACAGAGTAAGACTCTGTCTCCCAAAAAATAAATAAATAAGTAAATAAATAAAAGACTCAGACTTGTGCTAGGCTGCGTGGGTCCCTTTAATCAGCACTCTGATACTTTAGGCTTTTCTACGAGGTGGATAGTTACCTATATTCAAATGGTTTGTTTTCATGTGCAATTTGAAGTTAACGTTGGCATTCTATGCCTTGTTTCAGATATCAGAGCATGACTTTAAAGAATATTTCAGAGAGTTTTGTTTGTAGAGCTCAGTTTTAATTGTGTTGAGTTATATCTTGATGGCTGAATCTAGCTGCTATGCTAGGGGACATAGAGCACCAAGCCCCTCCCCTCACTTTAGAGTTCCTTGGTGGTTGCATTGTCACCTGCCCACTGAACCTTGAGACCGACTGTAGGCCCAAGTACTAGGCCAAGCCCTCCCAGCACCCTCCACCTTTGACTCTAGATCCATGTGTCCTGGTTTTTGTTTTGCCAGCACGCCAGCGTGGAGAGTACCCCCTCCCTCCAGTCATCGGCCAACTTCTCAACAGCAGCAACTTCCACCTCGAGTACTGTGTCCTCAGGTACCAGCCTGCCCAGTAGCATGAACACAGTGAACAGCCTCTGCCTAGGGGGGACCACTGCAAGTGCACCCAGCATCAGTACCAGGGCTGTACCCTTAGTGACCTCAGGTATGTGTCCAAAGGCCTTTCCTCCTGTCCCAACCCCTCTCAACTGTGCATACTTGGTTTCCCAGGAAGGGAGCCCAGAGGTAGCTGCCAGGCTGTAGAGGATAGCCATGAGCATCAGAAGATTATATTCTCACTTTGGACTTACCATTGCCAGATTTTGCTGTTGTATTCCCTTGACCCCTTGAGGCCTGATCCTTCCAACCCTGGTGTGTGATGAGTGGAACCTAAGTCTTGTGGATAAACTGCCCTTGGCATGATTCCTGCTAGCTTTGTTCTTCTAGCTCCCCCGTTTTTTCTGTGTCTTTTCAGTCCTGTAGCAGAGCTGACACAGTAACTTGGAGGAGGTGTCGGGGTGACATATTATGGGCTTCTCCTGGCCACTTGGTGTAACTGATTACCAGACCTAGGCTGTCTGTGTAAGCGGAACAGACTGTGTTTTGGTGGAAACTACAACTACCCACCTTTGACATAGCCTGTTCCTCTCTTGTTTTGAGGAAGGAGACTGTTTCCTTTGTTTATGTTTGTTCAGTCCAGTGTTACCTTTAGAATTGAGAGGAAGAAGGGTGCTTCTGTCTGGGCATAGAAGTCTGTGACATTGAAACAGCCTAAATGTGGCATATGCTATCTCCCCTGAGCTTCTTCATAACCTGGTTCTCTGTATCTCTTAGCCATTGTCCTCCCCTCTTACCTCCGATCTCATCTGGGGAAATTCAGTGACCTTATCTCTTCCCTGTATAGCTAAGGAACGTCACTCTTTGTGGTGACCACTTAATTCCATTTGGTTTTTCCCTCTACAGGCAAAGCACCCCCAAACTTGCCTCAGGGGGTACCTCCCCTGCTGCACAATCAGTACCTTGTGGGCCCTGGAGGACTGCTTCCTGCCTACCCAGTGAGTGCATGGTAGAATTCCTGGGTGGCCCCAGCTCCCCTGACCTCAGGGGCTGGTACCTGGCAGGACCTTGTGAGGGGAACTTTAGGTTGGGCTAAGGGCGCCCACATCAGGTGCTTTTCCCTCCCTGAGCTACTCATCTCTGCCCCTCTGATCCCTGGTATGTCTTCCTCTATCAAGGTATGATTTGTTCCCACAGCACTGTATCCAGGTCACATTCCTAGATGTGTCCTAGCCTTCCCAACCTTGTTTTGTCCCCTGTGAGGGCCTCATCCTCCCTGGGGATAGGGTGTGGTCCCTAAAATGCCCTTTCTGATCCTCAGATCTATGGCTATGACGAGCTCCAGATGCTACAGTCACGGCTGCCGATGGTGAGTAGGATGTGGGATGGTAGGAGCAGTGGGATCCAGGCTATGTCCCTTTCCCCTTCATATTTTATTTTATTTTATTTGTTTTAAAATAAAGAACATTTGTTTCTCACAGTACTGGAAACTTTGCCTCAAAAAAAGAAAAGAAAAAAGCCTGTCCTTGGGTTGCCCTGGTTGTTGCAGCCTCCCTCTGAGGCCCAGGTTAACTCTGTATTCTGAACCTTGACTGGGATAAGGCACTGGACCTTCCTGAGGATAGCCACATTAACAGGGCTATGGGGAAAGACTGGTCAGAAGCAGACCTGCTCTTTGCCTTGTGAGCTGGCAGGATTTCCTCCTGTGTAACCACTGCCCTCTTGGTCTGACATTTCCTGGGGGCTGCAGAGAGTTTAAACAATAGTGTTTGTCTGTGCTGGATGTGGCCATTCCCATTCTTACAGGAAGAGGCTTCCTCCCTATTGAAGTGTCACCTCTTCTTCCGCAGGCTCTTCCCCATTGGTGTTTCCCCATTCTCTGCCAGACCACAAGAGCTTATGGAGCTGCTCTTATATCAGGAGACACTCTTCTCCATTTGCTGGAAGTATTTCTGAAAGCAGAGGCAGAGCCTGGGAGCTGAGCAGCTCATTCCCTCATGTGCAGACCAGGAGCCTACCAGTCTGCTGGTTGAAGGCTAAAGGCCTGCCAGGATCTCCAATAAATCTTCATAGAGCAGGAGCTTGTCCCACATAAGTCTGCACAGGGCATACCAGCCCTGGGATTCATCCTTCCTCAGGGCTCTTGATGACTGTCCATCCCTGTACACAGGACCCCTTTTAATTTTATCATTTTATGTCTTAGAGGAAATCCCTTCCAAATCCCACCTTTTCAGATATATTGCTGACTATTATCCTTTGGGTCACCAGTAACCTCTGCTACATTTGTTTCTTTTAGACAGTCTCACTTTATCACCTTCAGTAGAGTGCCATGGTGTCACTGCTCCCTCAAACTCTTGGGCTTAAGTGATTCTTTTGCCTCTTCCTCCCAAGTAACTGGGACTCCAGGCACATATCACGAAGTCTGGCTAATTTTTCTATTTTTAGTAGAAATGGGGTCTCTTTCTTGCTCAAGCTGGTCTCAAACTCCTGAGCTCAAGCAGTCTACCTGCCTCAGCCTCCCAAAGTGCTAGGATTATAGGCATGATCCACCACACCCAACCACCTTACCCTTTTTTAAACAACATGACAAGGTCTCACTTTGTTACCCAGGCTAGGGTATAGTGGTACAATAATAGCTCACCACAGCCTCAAAGTGCTGGGCTCAGCAATCTTCCTGAGTAGCCTGGGCTACAAGCAGGCACCACCATGCCCTATAAACTCTTTTACTTTTGTGCCTAGTTCCCACCTTTACATTTCTCTTCTTGGATGAAAGAGCTCCCCCTTCTGGTCCTTCTCTGTGCCTCTTCCCTGTTATGTTCTTGCCTGCTGTGCACCCTACCTCTTCTTGGGGTTTCAAGCTGAGAATGCCTTGGGTTTCCTGGAGGTTACCTGGAAAGATGGCCAAAGGGGGGATGTGAGTGGCATTCCTAGCCAGGATGGCCCTGTCTGGCATGTGACCCAGCAATCTTCAGTATGGGTCTAGGGCATCCTAGGGCTTTCCCCTTACTCAGAGATCAGATTTCTGCAACTTCCAGGCCCTGGGTGATGAGAAAGCGCCAGACAGATCTCTCCCTTGCCACAGAGTTTTGCCCTCTTTTTCTCCACACTGTTGCATATATCTGTCAGACTTCCCTGGGTCATGTGCAGTGTCAGCATTGCTAAGGGCTGGTGACAGTCCAGTTTGAGGCCTCAACTGGGTTGTACATGTACCTGTACCAACCTAGCACTGCTCCCCTTTGGAATCTTTTAGGCACCTCTTCTTCTGCTATGTCCTTTTTTAGATGTGTTCTGTTTGGTGAGCTTGCCTAGCTATAGGCTAGAGTCTCTCACACAGGAAAAGCCAGTAAAGTTGATTCAACCTGTGTCACTTACAAGCATCTATCTGTGCTATAAAATGAACATGTAAGGTTGGGCCCACAATGACTCTGCTTGGCGACATCAGAGTTTCATGTCCTGGGTTTGTTCTCTTGGGAGTGGGAAGGGGCTACCTGCTGATTGGGTCTTCCTGGTTTCTCCTAGGATTACTATGGAATTCCCTTTGCTGCACCCACAGCCCTTGCCAGCCGAGACGGGAGTCTAGCTAATAATCCCTATTCAAGTAAGTTTATTCAGTGAGTGAGGAGTGGGTGGCTAGGGGTCTGGCCTGGAATCTCAGAAGTCTGGAAAACAGAAGCAGAAGGGCTGAGGAGGCCTCTTTGTTGCCCATATTGAATAGGAAGCCAGACCCATTCTTTGAGGGGCCATGCTGGCCCTTTTCCTGTTTAGATGAGAGTTGGTGACCCCAGGCACTGTTGTTCTTCTAGGTGATGTTACAAAATTTGGCCGTGGTGACACTGCATCTCCTGCACCCCCCACCACACTCGCTCAGCCACAGCAGAGCCAATCCCAAACTCACCACACAGCCCAACAGCCCTTTCTGAATCCTGCACTGCCACCTGGTTACAGCTATACTGGGCTTCCCTACTACACAGGTGTGCCCAGTGCCTTCCAGTACGGGCCTACCATGTTTGTGAGTATTGGTAGGGGTGCGAGTCTTCTTCCCCTGGCCCTGGGTTACTGGAAGGTTAAAACCTGGGGCCTGCGTTCCAGCTCCTGAGAGCAGAAGCAGGGAGAGAGGGAGGGTCATTTTCCCAGTAGGTCTTATCTGGCCTTTCATACCCTTTCTGCGTTTGGATCCAGCATATGTTGCACTTAATGAAGCACAGATCCTCTGAGGTTGTGGGTATATCACATATCACTTCCTGCCTAGGGCAGGGAGTACCTGACCTGCTCCACCTTGCTTTCTTCCTATACTGATGCCACATCTGCTTGCCCCACCAGGTCCCTCCAGCCTCAGCCAAGCAGCATGCTGTGAACCTCAGTACCCCCACAAACCCTTTCCAGCAGGCTGGCGGTTATGGCCAGCACAGCTATAGCGCAGGTGAGGGGTGCTCCCAGCAATGAACACAGAGATTAAAACTGGTGTGCTGGCTCGGCGCCTATAGCTCAACCGGCTAAGGCGCCAGCCACGAACACCTAAGGTGGCGGGTTCGAATCCCCAGTCCGGACCGCCAAACAACAATGGCGGCTGCAACCAAAAAATAGCCGGGCGTTGTGGCAGGCGCCTGTGGTCCCAGC